TGTGGGAGACCCAACCATCACAACAGTCTCCCATTCTCGCCAAATTGTTCCCTATTCAGGATAAACCAGTAGGAGGGGCTAACCTGTGAGCCAAAAGTCCCTCCACCCCTCCAGAAGCCCTCCCGCAGAGGCAAGCAGCAAGTGCCAGTGGCTTGTACTCCTTGGCCAGGGCGCTGGCAGAGGCAGTCCTGGGATTCCAATGTGGAGGCCAGGATGCGGGCGCTGACAGGATAGAGGGGCGAGCTCAAGCAGGAAGGTACCCGCCCAATAGCCTCGAGCCTCTGCAGCCCTGAGACAGCCTGCCACACCCCAGACCACCCTCCCTGGACACCGTCCTTTCCCTCAGCAAGGCTCTGGCTCCCTTGCCCTGGGCTAAGGCCTCCCCTCTTCTGTATTTGACTTTCCTGAGCAGGATTCAGCCCCTGAGTAGCCAGAGAGGTCAAAAGCAGACCCCTCACCTCTCACCCAACCCTCTGGAGGTAACAGCAAAGAGCAAAGTGAGGAAGGACAGAGCACATACAAAACCCACACATAATGTGTGCAAGTATGATTATGTGAAGTATAACAGACATACAGAAAAGCGCATATGTCATTACATTTTTTTAATGGAGCATTTACCATGTGGCAGGTAAGTAACAGTATAAGCCACATTTTATGAGTGGAGAAACTGGGGTTCGGAGACCCTAAGTAATATGTTCAAGGTCACATAGCTATTATATGACGGAGAAGGATATAAACCTCCGTAGTCTGTCTCTGAACGGCCTAAACCCTAAACCTCCCATCACCTGCTTTTCAAAGATTCCACCAACGTGGCGGTGGGTGGGGAAGAGATGGCTGGGGAGCCAAGATATATTGAAATATTCATCTCCCCACTCTGCATGGGGAGGCCACTGCCCAGCACAGGACCAGCATCATTCCTTCTCTCTTCTGCACCCCCAGCTGGGCGCAGGGGGTCAGAGTCCTTCCCACAGGATGAATCCAACCCACCGGCACAGACTCCGTGAACCAGTGCCCCCAGCCTCTGACCCCTGCCCTCGCTGCCCTCCCATCCGTGCTCCCAAGAGTAGAGGGACACAGCTAGGGCCGGGGAAGGAAAGACCTGGTCTAGTTCTCATTTCCCACCTGCAGGGCTGCTCCCATCCCCCCCTCCCGCTGAGTCTGCACTGTTCAAAGTCACCTTGCAAGTGTCTCCTGTGCCAGGAAAGACAGCCAGGGGAAGAGAAGCAGATGGGCTGCTGACATGGGCAGCGTGTCTACAGCAAGCAGAGGGGAGGGAGCAGGGGGGCTGATGCATAACCTGGAACCTGGAGTTTGGGGCTACGACCAGGCTGAGGGAAGGGACAGGGGTGAGCCCATAATCTTAGACTGTCCCTGGAACTGGGTTCATCTGGAAAAGTCTGTGGGTCTGGTGGGCACTAGATGCAGAACCTGATACCCGAATAGAAGGGTAAAACTGGAGGGGGTTGGTTGGACACCTGCTGCCACCTGAGAGACGCCATGTTCCCAGGAACCAGAGCTTTGTTCAAAAGAAACTTAACCAGCATAACCCCTTTCCTTTCTTTCCTGAGAAAACAACCAGAGAGGGAACGAAGGAGCCCAGAGCCTGCTGCCTGCCCTCTCCCCACCCTGTGCACCCCCAGCCCCTGAGATTTGCCTTCTCTGCTTTGCTGCAGGCTCAGGACAGGCAGGGCTGTAGTGGCATTCCACAGAGCTGCCTTCAGATCACTCCCTGCCACTTGATGACCAGGAAAAAATCACTTCACTTCTCTAAATAAAATGCCTAAGACAGAGCTGACCCTCAACAAATGTTCGTTTGTACTCCCTTTCCCTTCCCACCACTTCCCACTGGAGGGAAGCCCAGGGGTCTTGTGGAGGGCCAGGAGCAAAGAACCTCTCTCCCTTCCTGATGGCCAGGCCCAGGGAACGGAGGGACAGCGGATCCCCTTCCAGGCACCATTCCTAACTGACTTCAGTGGGGAGGAGGGCCATGTTGGGAACTGATGGATGCTACTGGAAATCCTGCAGAATAGGGGATGTTGATACGATGCGCTGGCTCATTCTTGGGAACACACTGAAACATTCTTGGGGGAACACCAAGTCCTCCTGGGCACACACTAGAAGTCTACTCTTTGGTACTTGGAGCAACTTAAGCATTACTCGGAGCTCACTGGCAGTTACTAGAGTGTTCCTGGGATTTTGTGAGTCCCGGGGCCTTACAAGGATTCTATCAGAAAGACCCTGGGGAATGATAAGAAAGCAATGGGATTTGCTGGAGACATACTGGAAAGTTACTGGGGTATAACAGGGAGCAAAATCACATGTGTGGGCATTCCTAGAGTGTGCTGGGATTTTAGAGGGCCTAATGCCAACTGGGGACATTTGGGGATAACCAGGCACTCCCTGTGGGGCACTCATGGGTTCCAGTAAGTGCTATAGCTAGGCTGCCCTTCTCTTGAAGAGGAGCATGGGTGTGTAGGGGTGCAGCCTGCCCCGGGGAGCCAGAGCAAGAAGACACTGCCCTGGGAGAGGGAGTAAGCAACTGACGCTTTGACTGAGCAGCAACCACCAGCATGTGCCTCCCAGGTGTGGTGGCAGCCTGGTATGGAAAATCACCCCTGAAGAGGGGGAGCAGCTCCCGGCCTGGCATTAGTCCCCCCAGACTCGGGCCCCAGGCCCTACCTCTACCCCCAAGGTGAAGAGACGCTGGGGGCACAGGGCAGGCAGGACTGTTGGCAGAAGGGCCCTCACGACTGAGGCAGTGAGACTTGGTGGGGTACGCAGGGGCCTCGTCAACAGCAAAGCCTCCCAGCTCAGTCTCAGGAAGAGAAATGTAGGGACACACAGGCTGGACCTCTGACCTGTGAAAACCTCAGCTTCTCAGCTGGGGGCAGGGGGGCAACAGCTGTTAGGAAATCGGGGCTCCTTGGGCAAAAGATAAAGGTCTGGCTAACTTACTGCCCTGTTCCCCACTTCCTACCCACTTTTCTGAGCCTTCCCCATCCTTCAAAGGCCACCCTAGTCCTCCCCAGAAGCCTGGCCCTTTTTCAGCATCCCCTGCTCCTTTGAATAGCAAGAGGTCTTCAGCAGACCTTGACCTCTGAGTTGATCTCTGGTCTTCCCCAGACACGGAACGCCTTCTTCCTAAGGCCCATGGTGACAAAGGGAGAGCAGTGGGACAGAAGAGCCACCCGGCCTTAGACCTGACCCCAGCCCCACGTGCTCAGGGCCAAGGCCGGAGGCCGCCGTGCTCTAGCTGGCAGGGAAGTTTTGCTCGGGAGAAGACATCGGCTGCTGTCCTACTTCCGCGGATGGGCCCCGGGATGGCCGCGTGCCCTGGGAAGCACCAGTGGCGCTGCTGGGTCAGAGGAGCTCAGACACTTCCCTCCGCCCCAGCCTGGAGCCTCAAAGTCAACCCGAGCCAAAGCAGCAACTGGGCATGCCCTGTCTGGAGGAAGCTTGCACGCAGGCTGGACACAGAGCAGGCAACTGCCTCGGCTCAGGGCACTGACTTGGTTGCTCTGTGCCCCACCCAGAGTTAGGAAAACCTAAACCCGGAGTAACCACGAGGCCCCAGGCAACGTCATGGACCTGTCTACCCTCCCTCTCAGCACTGCCGTTTTGCTCCCTGGGTCCCCTCACTGGACCTGAGGAATGTGGCAGAACCAGGATGTGCACCGGTCTCCCTCACGCCCTCGCCCCAAGGCCTCGGCACCATGCCCCGGCCCAGACCTGAGGCAGCAGCTGCTAGAGGCCAGCAGAAAGCCTCGACAACCTTTGCACTGCACCAGGCCCTGCAGGGTGGAGGGCCTGCCTCTCTTCCCTCACCCCTCCTCCTGCTCAGCCAGCTCCAGCTTAGCCATGAGGCAATGAGGAGGAGCTGGAGAGGGACTGAGCCTCAGCGTGGCCAGGCCCAGGGCTGGCCACCACCCCCCTCCACCCCTGCCAGCACTGAGCCCCATCATCAGGCACTAATTAAATCCCCCTAATGAGGAAATAAGGATGCAGGAGCTGGCTCCGCGCGGCCTCCCCGGCCCACCGCCCTCGCCTCTCCATCGGACTTATCGCTCGTCACAGGATGTTTACAATAATTTTTAATTTGTGCAATTATTAATCACTTTTCTATCTGCCTCATTTGCATAATAATTAGTCATCTCACTGTTTGGCATGCCTGTGAATGACAGTGTTTTAAATTGAATTAAGATTTTAATATTCTATTTTCCTGCTTTCTCCCCCCTCACACGCTAATCAAAGTCAGATTTGGCAGCCAGAGGGAGGGTGGGGAGGCGGTTGGCAGGCACTGGACTTGGCCTGCTCCGAGCTCCTGAGAACTGAGCTGGGAGGGGGGCACCCCAAACCTGGCACCTGAGGGGTTAACCAGCATTGCCTAAGGGAGAGAGGGAGGCGATGAGAGAGGAGTGGGCAAAGGCAGCTGGGGAGGGAAGGCATCAGCCCCGCTCAGTGGCACCAGAGATCAAAAAACGCACTTTCATTTTTGTCCAAACAGGCTGTTTTTTGCAAGAAGTTGGAAAGCACAATACAGGCCAATAATTGATCCCTGGTTGCTAGTCTAGGTTAACTTTGATGGCTCAGGGTCCCCCAGGTAGAGAAGCGCCTGGAACAGTCCAAAACCTATTGCCATTCTTTGGATGGACTGAGAAAACAAATCTCTGCAGTTGAGTTGGGCTCCCCCCGCCCTTTCTAGAGCTCTCCACACACAGCAGACCCTCTGCCCAGGCCGGGCGCCTCACAGATGCGTGCCAGGGAGGAAGGGGTTCCGGCTGACAAGCGGCAACAGGTGAGGGCTCTCTGGCCTCTTCGGGGCAGCTGTGGGTTTCTCTCTTTCTTAGCCTCAAGCCCCCCCTCTGACCATCCCCGGAATCCTGCTCCAGCCCTACCTCCCCACAACTAGGCTTGCCTTTTGTGTTGTCATGGTAATCCCTGTGGCTGCCCTGGATACCCATTGCTGCTCCAGAATTCTCTGCTTAGGCAGGGCAGCTCTCCCCACAGCCTGCTTAGAACACCTCCCCTTTTACCATCACTGAGGACAAAGGGTGAGGAGCTGGGGTACGGTCACCAGCACGTGGTCTGCAAAATCAAATACTGCCTTTCCCTTCAGGTGAGTAGGGAGAGAAGCTGGGAACGTGGGAGCTGGTGTGAGCCAGTAACCAGGACATCACAGCTGGGCAGGAGGGGGTCAGACTCCACTCAGCAACCAAGACTTTCCTCAGGCCAGAGTAGAGTAAGGACCCCTACCTTCTCCAGAAATCCCTTCCTCCCACAAGGAATAAGGTCTCCCAACTCCACACTTAGAGGTCAAGAGAGAGAACTCCCCTAGGTAGGGAAGACAGAAATGGGGGTTTTCTGCCAGAGTTAAGAGCTAGATGAGGAGAGAAGGCTAGAAGAAGTTTACAGGAGAGCCCTTCTCCTTCACAGGACTCCATGGCTGGTCTGCATTCTCTACCTGCAAGCCAAGAAAGGGGATTCTCGGCACTCCTACAGTCCTCTCTGACACAGGGTGCCCCTGGGCTGCCCTATGAGCCCTCTTGCTAATCTACCTAGGCAGACGCCAGCCTCAGGAGCTGGTAGTACCACAAACCCACAGGCATTGTCTGAAGGGGCAGGACAAAAATCGCTGGGGTTCAGGAGAGGCACAGTCCAATCCAGGAATTAGAGGGCACTTTCGAGAAACCAGCCCCCCACCCCACCCCTGCCCTGCCAGGGCTTTGGGCTTTGTCCCCAGCTTGACTGGAAGGAGCACACAGCCCTTTTATCGCTTTGTAAATCAGGCCCAGGTGAGCCCAGATTTCACCGTCTGCCACACTGTCAGCGAGGGACGGCAGCCTTCACCACAGCCAGCTTCGCCCACCACACCCAGCCTCTGCCCCCCAGCCTTTCCCTCCGACAGCCCCTCAGTGGCGAAGAGAGCTGTTCTGGGGGTGAGACCGGCACACATAGCTGGTACACAGCAGCCTCTGCTGGCCGCCTCCGCCTTCCACACTTTCCCTAGGGATGAAAGCAAGCCTAGCCAACCCTCAGAACCCGGCTTGACCTGACTTGCAGTTTGCCTGGGTCAGTCATGGTTTACACCTGTTGTCTCAGCATATTACAAATAGCATATGTGTGCACACACACACACACACACACACACACACACACCATTCACTCGCAGAAGTGTCCTAGTTTGGACAATAAATTAAATGGTCTCTCTAATCACAGGCAACGGGAGGTTTCCCAGAGAGCCTGGGGAGAAAGTGGAGAAGGGCAGAGACAAGCAACCTTCCCTCAGTCCCCAGCCAGAGCTGAAGGGACTCCCTTTCAGTCAGCACCGAGAGGGAAAGTCAGAGCCCCCCCCGCCCTGGGCCAGGGCACCGGCATCTGGACAGGCCAGCTTGGGGAGAGAGGGGACGCAGTCCTTCCCAAGGTGGGGAGATAGCTGGCAGAAGGAAGAAGAGGTGGCTTGGCCAAAAGGTAGAAGCCTGAAGGGAATAAAATGTTCTCTTTCCATGTGTCTAGCAAACGGCCACTCGGAGCAGGGGTCATGGGCCCGCCCACAGCGCCGGAGGGCAGCCCCACCCAACCGGATGCCTGGTACTGCTCTGCCTGGGTGCCCGAAGGCCCACCCAGATTGCAAAGCCCCTCTCCTCCTCACCCTCCTCTTCATCTGCTTTCCCCCAGCCCACTCCTTAGCCTGAACTGCAAAATCAATGAAGACTGATCACAAGCTCCCCATCCCCAATCTAAGAGATGAGGAAGAGAAATCAGAGCCCTCAGCCCCAGAGTACCAGGACTCCCGGATGCCTTCCTTTTGTGCTGTTACCCCGTTGATGCAAGGCTCTTGGGGATCGCCTTTCGCTCCACCTATCCGAGCTGGGATTCCTGAGTCAAAGGTTTAGGGACCACCACTGGGTTTCTTTGTAGGGTGGGAATGGGGTCACGGGTATTGGAGAATGTCTATGTCCTATCAGAGAAGTTCACATAAATTAGCTGCAAAGTAATACACAAATGCATATTAGCTACATCAGGCACCAATAGTTGTGCATTTTGGGGACTCAGATAGCAACAACAGTCCCCACTCCATAGCCATTCTAATAGTCATGAGGTGATCTCTCATTGTGGTTTTAATTTGCATTTCCCTGATAATTAGTGATATTGAGCATTTTTTTTGTGAGTCTGTTGGCCACCTGTAAATCTTTGGAAAACTGTCTATTCAGATCCTCTGCCCATTTTTTAATTGGATTTTTTTTTTTTGCTATTGAGTTGCATGATTTCTTTATATATTTCAAATATCAATCCTTTATCAGATACATGATTTGCAAATATTTGCTCCCATTCGGGAGGTGATCTTTTCGTTTTGTTGATGGTTTCCTTTGCCGTGAAGAAGCTTTTTATTTTGATGGAGTACCACTTTTTTATTTTTGGCTTTTGTTGCCTTTGCTTTTGGAGTCAGATCACAAAATCATCACCAAGACCAAGGTCAAGGAACTTACCTGTGTTTTTTCATATTTATGGTTTTAGGTCTTACATTCAAGTCTTTAATCCCCTTTGAGTTAATTTCTGTGAATGGCGTAAGATAGCCTAGTTTCATTCTTCTGCAGGTGGCCATCCAGTTCTCCCAACATCAGTTGTTGAAAAGACTATCTTATCCCCATTGTATATGCGTGCCTCCTTTGTTGTCAATTAATTGGCCATATATATGTGAGTTTATTTCTGAGGTCTCTATTCTGTTCCATTGATCTATGTGTCTCTTTTTTTTTTTTTAATTTATTTATTTGACAAAGATCACAAGTAGGCAGAGAGGCAGGCAGAGAGAGAGAGGAAGGGAAGCAGGCTCCCTGCTGAGCAGAGAGCCCGATGCAGGGCTCAATCCCAAGATCCTGGGATCATGACCTGAGCCGAAGGCAGAGGCTTTAACCCACTGAGCCACCCAAGCACCCCTATGTGTCTCTTCTTATGCTGATTTCATACCGTCTGGAATACCATAGTTCTGTGATACAGTTTGATACAAGGAGTGCGATGCCTGCACAATCTTCTCTATCAAGATTGCTTTGGTTCTTTGGAGTCTTCTGTGTTTCCACACAAATTTCACGATAGTTTGTTCTGTTTCTGTGAAACATGCCCATTGGAATTTTGATAGGGATTGCGCTGAATCTGTAGATTGTTTGGAGTGGTATGAACATTATGACAATATGAATCTTTCCAATCTGTGATCACAGAGTATCTTTCCATTTATTTGTGTCTTCTTCAATTTCTTACGTCAATGTCTTATCATTAATGTCAGACAATGATAATGTCTTATCATTATCATACCTCCTTGGTTAAACTTATTCCTAGGTGTTTGATTCGCTCTGATGCAATTGTAAATGGGATTGTTTTCTTAACATCTCTTTCTGCTAGTTTGTTGTTAATGTATGGAAATGCAAGATTTTTATAAATTGGCTTTGTATCTTGTGACTTTATTGAATTTGCCTCTTACTTCTAACAGTGTTTTGATGAAGTCTTTTAGGGCTTTATAAAATCTTGTCACCCTCAAATTGGGAGAGTTTTATTTCTTCCTTACCAATTTGGATGCCTTTTATTTATTTTCCTTCCCTAACCACTCTAGCTAGTACTTCTGACACTAGTTTAATAAAAATGGTGAGCATGGACCTCCTGATCTTGTTCCTCATCTTAGAGGAAAAGATTTAGCTTTTCGCATTGTGTATGATGTTGGCTATGGGCTTATCATATGTGGCCTTTCTTATGTCAAGGCACTCTGCATCTATAACCACTTTTTTGAGAGTTTTTAATCATGAATAGATGTTGAATTTTGTCAAATGCCTTTTCTGTATCTATTAAGATGATGATGTGATTTTTATCCTTCATTTTTTTAATGTGGTGCCTCATGTTGATTTCAAACATGATGGATGTCAAACCATCCTTGGATGTTAAACCATCCTTGCAATGATGGAATAAATCCCACTTGATCATGGTATGTAATTTTTTGAATGTATTGTTAAATTCAGTTCGGTAACATTTTGTTGAGGATGTTTTCATCCATGTTCACCAGAGATAATGGCCTATAAGTTTTTTTTCTTGGTGTGTCCTTGTCAGTTTTGGTATCAGAGCAGTGCTAGCCTTGTAAAATGAGTATGGAGCTGTGCCTTCCACTTCAACCAATTCCTATTTTTCTGTTTAGTCTTGAAATTTGTCTGGTTCTAGGAACTTATCCATTTCTTCTAGGCTGTCCAATTTGTTGGTGTCTAATTGCTCAGAGCAGGCTCTTACAATGCTTTGTATTTGTGGAATCAGTTATAATGTCTCCTCTTTCATTTCTGATTTTATTTGAGCCTTTTCTTTTCTTTTTTTTTTTTTTTTGGTGAACCTGGTAATAAGTTTACCATTTTTCTTTCAAAGAACCATCTCTAGGTTTCACTTATCTTTTATATTACCTTTTTAGTCTCTATTTCACTTATTTCCACTCTGGTCTGTTATTTCCTTCTACGAACTTTGGGCTTCATTTGTTCTTTTTCTAGTTCCTTCTTGAAGTGTAAAGTTAGATTGTTTGAGTTAGGCATGTGTCACTATGAACTTTCCTCTTAGAACTGCTTTTGCTGCATCCCATAAATTTTCATATGTTGTATTTCCATTTTCATTTGACTCAAGGTATGCTTTTATTTCTCCTTTGACTTCTTTGTTGACCCATTGGTTGTGCAATAGCCTGTTGTTTAATGTCCATAAATTGGTGCTTTTTCCAGTTTTTCTTCTTGTAAATTAATTTCTAGTTTCATACCATAGTGGTTGGAAAAGATCCTTGATATTATTTCAGTCTTCTCAAATTTATTAAGACTTGTTTGTGGCCTTAACATATAGTCTATCCTGGAGAATGTTCCATGTGCCCTTGAGAAAAATGTGTATTCTGCTGCTTTTGAATGGAATGGCCTGTATATATCTATTAAGTCCTTCTGATCTAATGTGTCATTTAAGGCCAGTGTTTCCTTATTGATTTTCTGTCTGGATGATCTATCCGTTGGTGTAAGTGGGGTATTAAAGTCCCCCTCTATTATTGTATTGCTGTCTATTTCTGCCTTCAGGTCTGTTAATATTTGTTTATAGATTTAGATGATCCTATGTTGAGTGCATAAATATTTACAAATGTTACATAAATAGGAAGCGTTTAATTCAGCCATTCTGCCCATAGCAAGGAAACCAGGGAAAAATCCATAAAGGAAAGAAATACTTGAGCTGGGCGCTGTAGGATGAGTAAAGTCCTGCTAGGGGGAGAAAAAAATGGAATAGTGGAAGCAGCTGGGAAAACACAGAAGTCTGAACCAGTGGTGTTTGATCAGGGAAGTGAAGTCCAGAGAGTCCAGGTAAGGGGTTGATAGGTCAGGCTACAAAGGACCTTGATAGAAGACTGAGGAGACTAGACACATCCTGTAGATAAAGGCCTTCTTCTCAACCACCTCCCATGTGACCCAGGAGACATTCCTATCCTCAGTCTCACCATCAATACTGGGATAATCATGCTTCCCCTACCCTGTTTCCATGAAAGCTACAAACTCCCTGTCACTGGGACTGGGTTGGCTGGTGAGCCACTCCATGAATATCTGATAGGAGGTCCATCTGCTAATTAAGCATTCATCTAATGTTGCATTTATGACAATCTATTATTAGCACTACTAATTAGAGACCTTCACCAAGAAGCTGTGGGGAGCATGTGGAAAACAATGAACCAACTTTGGTCTACTCACCTAGAGTAACCACCTCAAGATGCATTCATTCATTCATTCATTCATTCATGTGGACAAAGTACATAGACTTTGGTAGCTCTGTGGCCTTCAGCCTTAGTTTCCTTGTCTACAAAATGAAAATACTAGCATCAAATTTGTTGAGTTTTTATGAAATTACTATATAGAGACTGCCTGGTTCATACTGGCACCAAATAAATGACAGCTATTAGTTCTGAGGTATAGTACCTTGGGTTAGGAGCTGGGGATTTGAAAATGAGTAAAAGGTCTAAGAAAATAAGAATGTAAGTAAGAATAAGAAAATGACTAAAAGTCCTGGCCACAGGACCTCATGATCCACAAAACAGCATATGAGAGCTGAGTACAAAGTGCCATGAAAACTCAGAGAAAGGCTGATTGGGTAATCTGAGCCTGCACTTAAAGCAGTAGCATTAATTCGCAATATAAGTTCGCAAGCAGAATTGAGCCGACAGGGAGGTCCCATGGCACCTCGGGTGGTTGCTTGAGTTTGTCTTTGTCAAAAGTTCCTCTAAAGTCCACATTGAAAGACTTTCCAGTTTGTAAGTCAGAAGTCCTCTCCAGCATGAGACCATGCCAGCTGGGCTAATCAGAGCTTAGGAGAAGGAATGGGCCCAGATAACCCCCATTCTAGCTTCCTCCTCTCCTGTACCAAGAAAAACCAAGACAAGGCCCACCATCCCATTCCCTTCCATGTTGAGAAAGTGTCAAAGAGCAAGTAGGATTTCTAGATGCTGGAAATAACTATACTGGAACAAAACGCCAACTGCACCAGTAGGCAATGGGGGCAATATGGCTCCATCTCTTGTCTCACAATATGTATAAAGGAGCAGTGGGAACATTTGACAATAGTTTTCTCAGTAGGAATCAACGGTGGGATGTGGTCACCATGGAAGCTAATTCAACCTCAAATACATTGATTAAAATATAATATTTAGATGTAGGCAAATAACAGTCCTATTGATCAGAATACCCTGGGCCTTAGGACCCAAGCTAGGTGCTGTACTTTAAAAGGGGCAAACTGGAATGACTTCAGAGAAGATAGTATGGGACTCAAAATCATGGTTGAAGGAACTAGAAAAAAATAAGCTGGACCCAGCAGCTTTCTTCTAATGTCACCGTAACTGTGACATCATTTCCCGATCATAAAAGAGGTGCCACAGTGAAGGGGGGAAATGTCTTACTAACAGCAACTCGAGCACAATGAATCCTAGAGGTTGTTCCCTCAGTCCCTGCACTTCAGGTTCTTGGGCTATTTCCCCCCACCCCCACCAGTGTTCAAGAATAGTTCCTCTAATCTATTCCATCTGTCCCTGGGCTTTATTTATGACTCTAGGACCCACCTGGAGGCTACCCTCAAAAGTTGCCTAGGAGTATGCACCCAGACCCTCTGCACTGATGACCTTGGTCCTTTCCGGCAAGTCCTTCATCCTCTCCCTCCCACCGCCTCCTCTTGTGTCAGCCTCCAGCTGCATTGTCATGCTTGGCTCTGCTGCTAGACTAGGGATGGAGGAGAGGGAGGAGGCCCTAGGTGAAGGGTCTGCAGATGCAGTTAGACCCTCTATGTATAAAGATTAATTTCCTACTACTTCTTAAGTGAATATTGTCTTGTTTCCTTGCTCATATAAGTTCCAATAGAAAACTCTCCTCCCATTACCTTAATCTTGTGACTCCAGGAAGAGAAAGAAAAATGTATTCCAACACATCTAAAATGTTGTCAGATAGAAGAAGAGTTATTAGTCCGTTTGTGTAAGCCCCAAGATGGATAATTCAGACAAATGGTGAAGTCACAGGGGAACATGACTGCAAATAGCTAGAGTTGCCCAGGAATGAACTACTTATGTCCCAGGAGGTGGTGACAGGGCAGAAAGTGTTCAAATGTAGGTGGGAGTGGCCCTTCTAGAAATGATTTGCCGGGAGATTCCAGCATGGAGCAGATGTAAGAATCAAATCTCTGCAAGACTCTAACTTAGATTCCAAGATTCATATAACTAGCAGTGTATTTCCATGGGACCAAAGGTTGGGAAAGCAGCTGAACTAGTAAACTGATGGAAAATACTTCTAAATTAATTGGTGTGGGGTAAGTACCATGAATAGAAGTCCTTTAGGGTATCATCCACCTCTGAGATTCCCATTTTGTGATTCCAGGTTCTAAAAGAGCGTCAGCTACTGGCCAGATTCATCCAGCTGATAAGATGCAGGTCAACAGTCTGTCTCAGGACAACAACTGGTGTGTGTGTGTGTGTGTGTGTGTGTGCGCGCATGAGTGTGTGTGTGTGTGTGTGTGTGTGTGTCGTAAGGGGAATGGAGATCAGGGTAGAAAACAACAGACATTTTCTGAAGGGCCATAGCGTGGGCACATACACACATACACGTGTACACACACACACACACACACACACCGCCCATACACAGAAGCAATCCAGAGTTGGACTTGAAGCTGGTGGCAGAGATGAGATCCAACAACCTTGAGGCCTGATCAATCGCACAATCGCTCCCCTCCCCTAGTTGCTGGTCTGGGGTCTGTTAGGGAAACAGTGGCTCCCGCTTCCTCCATCAAAGCCAGCAGGGTGCTGTTCACATCCAGTGAGGAGGACGAAGGCAACCTAAGACACCAAACCTCAGAACCAAAGTGGTTCTGCCAAAGTACAAGCTGGGGACAGAGGGCAGGGCTGAGCAAGGACACTACTGTGATCACAACCCAGAAAGCCAGAGGGCTCCAGTGCCCACCTTCAGCCATGTCTGTGGGCTCTGTGACTGTGGCTGACTGTCCTCCAGTCACCCCCTACCCAACATCCCCTTTCTCATTCCCTTCTAGCTGTCCCCAAAGCTCCTGCTGTCTGCTTCTGTTCCTCTAATGCAGAGTTGACAGGCAGAAGACACAGGATGTTTCCTGTCCTGGGTTTTACTCTCACTCAGGGCATGCTCAGACCTCAATGGTTCAAGGGCAGACCTCCCCATAGAGTTATTTTCACCGGCTCCCCGCTACAACTGCAGCCTCCCAACATCAACTGTAGGTAAAGTGGCCCTTTGGCAGGTCCTTTTTACACCCTACCCTGCCACCTCCACTGTACATGGAGTCAAAAAAGGCCAGTCAATAACCAGCCAAAAAGCTGCTTCCAAAAGGGCAGCAGCCCCTTTAACCTAATCTCCCACCCTTTAACCTAAAATGCTGAGTCTCAGTGCGGCCAGTGTAGCAGGCCACCTTCCTCTCTCTCCCTAAAGGAGTATCAGCTACTGGCAAATCCCTGTGGACGGGCTTCCACAGGTCCCGTGGGGTACACCCTTGCAGCTTCCTAAGTAGCAGGTGAACAAACCCTTGACTCAGCTCTAACCCTCTTGTGCTCCTAGAGACTCCTCTTTCCTCTGCTTCTTAGGAAACACAGACACAGCAACGGCATCAACCCATGGGATCAGGCAACCCCCTACCCAGAGTTCAGCCCATCAGCTGGTGAGTCCGCCACCAACCAAGGTCATTGTAAGCCACCCCTCTCGTGACCAGCATTACTTTCAAAGCCAAATAAAGAAATAAATAAAGACCCGAAATGCTCATTTAAAATAACTGCTTTTAAAAATGCCATATGGCCTTACATGCAGAGAAAGCATCCCCCCTCCCCAACCACCCCTATTCCCCCAACCCCCGCGTTCCTGCCCAGTTCTTAGTGCTCAGGCCTCAAACAAACTCAGTTTGGGTCCTGTCTGAACACCAAGGCCACCAGCAGCACCCCAGTTCTGCCCCCAGGGGGTGCGAGTAACAGGTAAGGAGGTTAAAGGGGAAGCCTCACCGGAACAGGCCATCCCTCTTCCTCCCCCAGCTCTAGACACCCCCTCTCCAGGGCATAGAAGACTCTGCCCACTTGCCCACCCTTCTTCGAATAGCTCAGCCCTCAGTCCCACCCAGCAAGACACACCGGCTCTCCAAACCCAGCGGGAGAACAGCCATCCCGGTACTGAGGTAAGGTGGAGAGGGAGAGCGGAGCCAACAGGGACACAGGCCATGGACACAGCAGAAACACTCGAGAAGAATCTTACTGTTCGCGGTTTGAGAGGAGACACGATTTAGGAAGCACCTAGTGCCAGACACTCTGCTACTTTATTTCAGATCCTCTCAGTAACCCAGGAAGAGAGTTTACGAGTAAGGACAAGGTGGCTCAGAGAAGTGAAGTAACTTGCCAGAAAGTAGCACCTGCCTAGTCTTTGATGACCTCTCACCCTAGGAGACTGACTCCCCACTGACTTCCCCTACTCAGGCCAGGGAGATAGGAAGGACCCCTGTGCACCAAGAGGCAAAAGCTAACGTCCCACTGTGGGGAAGCAGCAGCAGGGGGGTTTCCTTGCAGGAGTCAGAAGCCCCGGAGGAAATAGCCCCTCGAGATATTAAATACCGCCTGGAGCCCCTTCCCAAGGCTCCACCCCCGACGCAGCCCCCAGGCTACTTCAGCCAGTACTGCAAGCCTCCGTGGCTCCCCTTCAGCAAAACCTGTGGAGAATGTTACAAGCCCTGGAGGAAAAAGCCAGAGACTTATCTTGGGACGAAGTCCTCCCAATCAGGTGAGTCTTAGCCTGGAGGCAAAAAGGGTAACAGGGGATAGACAGTGGCATTCTGTATCAAACCCTCTGTTCCCAGCCCACCAGCTTCACCCTAACCAGGGGCACTCCTGTACCCGCTGCCCCCCAACACTGCAGATCCCAGGGGTGGGGACCATGAGCCTAGCAGAAGGCAGAAGGCAGCAAGGGCCCAGCCCTGTCTTCTTCAAGAGCCTTCAGGCAATATTTGCCTCCGAGGCCAGCTGGAACCATTTGGGGAGGGTACCATACCAATAACCCCAGCCTAGCCCCTTCCTGTGTAGGCTGGACCAGTGGGCAGCCCTGTCATCCAGGCTTTCAAAAACTCAGGTGATCAAAAAAGGCATAGAGGATAATCTGGATTCCACACTAAGAATTCTTTAGTTCTGGTGCTGGGGAGACAACCCTGAAGGTCAGCGCGGTGGGAGAGGCAATGCTCTCGTATTTGCATCTGTTATTCGCATTATCCAAGGTCTAGTTAAATAGACCAGCTATGCAGGAGCCAAGGCTGGGGTCCAGGTCCCCACCTTTACTCTCAGGACTTTCCCACACAGAGGAGGCCCTCTGCACACTTTCTTGCTCCCCTCAGGTGACTACCACATGAGCACTACTCATCAGATTTCCTTCCAGAACCCACTTCTTGGCGAGTCGATGTTCCCAGTTCATGTTCAGGGCAGAAAAATAGCGCCAATAATGCGTCCAGGCTACGTGGAGTATATCAGCCAACACCAGAGTAACTTCCAAGCCTCGGGGTGGAATCAAGTGATCAAAACCCACCCAAACAAAAGCAGCCAGGGGATCGAGTGAGTAACCAGAACTCTTGGCAAGCTGCGGGTTGCTGTTGGGGGAAGGGGCCAAAGGAGGGCTCTACTGCCCAAGAGAAAGGTACTGACTGTCCCCAACTTATGACGGTCTGACTTACAATCTTTCGACTTTATGATGGTGCCAAAGTGATGCGCGTTCAGTAGGAACCATAGAATCTGAATCTTTTCCCCGGGCTAGCAATACACAGTACAATACTCAGACGGTGAGCCCTGGCAGCGAACCCCAGCTCCCAGTCGGCCCCGCGATCAGGGCGGTCAACAGCCAACACTCTGACAACCTTTCTGCACGCATGCAACCATCCTGGTTTTCACTTTCAGTACAGTATTCAAAAAGCTACGTGAGCTATCCAACACTTTATTAAAAAGTAGGCTTTGTGTTAGATGATGTTGCCCAGCTATAGGCTAATAAGAATTATGCTAAGCACGTCTGAGTTAGGCTAGGCTAAGCTACGACGTTCAGAAGTTCAGCTGCGTTAAATGCATTTTCCACTTTTGGTATTTTCAACTTACAGGTGGTTTCAGGAGATGTAACTGCACCGTAAGTCAAGGAAGATCTATAATAATCCAGAACTCAGTCTTCTGTCCAAGTCAGAGACATAGTTATAGAAGGCAACAAAGCAAAGGACTAACTGTTTCAGAATCTTGAATCTCAAACTAGTTCAGATTTACTTCATCCTCGTTTTACCTAAGTTTGGGGCCAGGACAAACTGCATCTTCTTCATAGCCGGGGGTCAGTCTCTTTCCCTCCACATCTCTGGGAGACATGGGCTCTGACTGCACGCCAGGAGGCCGAGTAGGCAGGCTTACCCAGTCCCCATGAAAGTACAGAGTACCAGGCACTCCACTTGCCCAGCCTTGTCCTGGCTTCTTGCCTATTCAAGCCTGCTTCCCTCGGGGGCTCAGCATGGTCCACTCCCTCCCTCTGACTCATCCCTGAAAGGCTAGAAGGCCCTGCTCGGGTGCAAAGGGAGGAATACGCACACGGTGCCACACAAATATTACAGAATTGGAGTCCTAGTCCAAAGGGGTGGAGGAGGGGCGCCTGGGGGCTCAGTGGGTTAAGCCTCTGCCTTCAGTTCAGGTCGTGATCCTGGGATCCTGGGATCCTGGGATCGAGCCCCACATCGGGCTCTCTGCTCAGCAGGGAGCCTGCTTCCTCCCTCTCTCTCTCTGCCTGCCTCTCTGCCTACTTGTGATCTGTCTGTAAAATAAATAAATAAAATCTTAAAAAAAAACAAAGGGGTGGAGGAAAGGAGAGCCTTCATGGGGAGCAGGGAGGGACGCCACCCCAGCACATGAGAACACTCTTCGCCCCCTGCCCCAACACACACAATTCCAAGCTCATTTCCCAAGACCACATTCTCTCAGCCATAGCCACTAGCTGCCTACCAGAAGGCTTTAGAAGGGCTCTCCATTGCCCTATCCTTCTGCTGCTGGTGTTGCGTCCTCTCTGCTGGGTCTAAGCATGATGACTGGGGAGTGTGAAAAGAAGCAGAGATAAAATAAATTCAAATTTTATTTTCAGGGAAGAAATAAATTTGTCTTCAAAATTACCTGAAAATACTCTGTATAGTTTAGGCAGACACACAAATGAAAAGCAAATAAAATAAAATAAAATAAGGCACGTAGATGGCACGGTGCCCCTCTATTTGGCATGCCTGGATTCGTTCACAGGTATAGGTCCTGACTTGTAGAAATGTTTTCACCCCATGCAGCAAATATATCCAGGCGGTGCAGAAAGACACTGCCCCTGGCTGGCAGCCCACTATGCATCAGCGTCAGAGGCCAAGATGGCTGAAGCAGGAGATGACCCTCCTGGGTAGGAAGACCACTGCCAAGTTTGATGGAGACACAGTAACCAGGGTAAAGTGCCCAAGCTCTCTGTCAAGAGGTAATCAGCATGAGGGTCTCAACTACTCCCTCATCCCAAGGGGAGGGGGAGTGGCAGTACACAGGGAACAAGGGAGGAAGTTTACCCTACCAGAACACCCCAACCCCACTATTCTTGGGAAATCCAAAAATTTTACTTTCCTGAATCTGCAGCCACTTAGGGAGTCTGATATTTGTCCCTGACCAGAGATGAGGTATGTATGCACTTAAGGAATGTTTTACAGGTGAAGTTTGACACGTGGTAAGTACTTAACAAAAGATAGCAATTAAAATCATTATTATTATTATTACTATTTCCCCAGACAAGCATTCCTCTCTTCCCAGATGCCTTATCTACCTCCTCCCAAATCCTTGGTGAACAGAGTCAAGGGTAAGTGCCCCTCTAGCACACTCAGGGCCCTCAAAGCCAAGTTGCAAACTGAAACTGCAGGCAAGCAATTCTCCCAAGTACACTATGGAGACCCTCATCACAGAGGCCGTGAGAAGCTGCCGGTAAGAACGTCTGTCATCCCCCGGGTCCCCCTTCACCTTTCACCTTGCTAAAGGCCTGAGCGTGGGTGGGCGCTGAGCCGTAGGGAGAGGAGTCTGAGGTTTAAATCCTGGATCTTTCCCAACCTCGAGCAATCCTGAGCAAGTAACCTCTCTGCAAAAATGTTTTCTCCTCTGCCAAAAGAAAAAGAAAACAAACCTTGCTTACTAAGCACCAGACATTGCATTTTTCTCTGTGACTCCTTGTAATTCCCTAGTCGACAGAGGGTGCTGAGCAGAATATGCAGGGAGGGGAAGATTTGCTCCTTTTCCTTTTCCGACGTCTCTCTGTCCCCTTGAAAGGGCGTGGGTTTGCCGGCACCAACTGAAGATCGAACTACCACCGGGACCTCCTACATGCCCTTGTTTTCTGAAAGGTTGAACCTGTGTAAGCCCAAGGTCAACAGCATCAAATGGGAACCGAACACAATTTCTCTACTGAACAAAGGAAAGCATTCAGGTACAAAGGAAAGACTGAGTCTGCATATGGGGTGGGAGGGGGGCCGGGGTCATGGAGCAGACACAACTCAGCTTCAGCCTGGCCCCGTATTCTCTCTGCCCGTCTTTACAGGCCAGTCCAGCTACCTGAAAACCAGCTCTAGAATCAATTATGACAACAACAGGACTCAAAATTCCCAAATGTAATAATCATGGCGGGGGGGGGGGGGGGACTTCAGAACACACGTCTCCTAACCAACTCAAACTGAAAACCGAGGTCCAGCTACCACGAAAACCACCTCAAAGCGTAAATTCTGCTCCCCCACTGGGATTTCCCAGAACCACCCTAACCCTAATCCGGCTCTTTGAAACTACCTGAGCCAAGGGTGAGTAGCCTGGTTAGGAAGGAACAATGCACTATGTGTCCTAGAAGGTCAGTGTGTTCCTGGATACCCGAGGGAAAGGAGGTCAGGCTGTTTCCCTCTAACTAACGAATGAATAGCAAAGCGTTGAAACTTTTCTCAAGTCAGTACCATCAATTAATTACATTCTATTTGAGCTACGGTGTCTGCTCACTGCTGCGTTTTTTTCCCTTTACATTCTTTAAGATTGTAATTCACCTTTTTAAGAGGTATAATCCAGTGGTTTTTAGTATTGCTCACTGCCACTGGGGTCTAAACCTCCGAGTGGAGAAGGTGGCAAAGGAAAGGAAGAAGGAGAGGGTCTGAATTGGATTCGAGCAAACAAACAAAATCTGCCACGTGGAGAAAGTACTCCAAAGCTTAAGGGAGATTGTGATCAAAATCTAAATACCGTCTCTCTCTTAAAAATACTTACCATATTGAAAACAGGATTATGTTACTGGTTTTAAGGTAGGGAAGAGGCGGCTGAATGTAGCCACCCATATCATTCAGAGATGCTAAGGCTTATCACTTCCAACACCCTGCTTCAGACCCGGGGCCTTCCTTTCCACCGTCAGGAAAAGGGGTGTCACACTGCCCTCTAGTAGCCGGCCTGGGAATGACAGCCAGCCACCCGCCCGACGGCCCCGAGGTCTCTGCTGGGAGGATGCGCTGTTCTCAGCACACAAAGGCAGAGAGATCAGAGGGAGAAAGAATTTATAAATTTTCACCGATGCCTACCAGACACAGAGCTCACCTGCAGTAGAATCTATCTGCTTCCCCTCCACCTCAGTCTCTGCTTGAAAACAGATTCCTTTGTTAAGGAAAAAAAATGTGGTTTAAGGGTTCCAAAAACATTGGAGCCTGTCTTACTTAGGCTGCTATACTTCAGGCTGCTGTCACAAAAATACCACAGACTTGGGTTGGGGGGGGCTTGAACAACATATATTTATTTCTCACAAGCCTGGAGGTGGGGGGTGGGGGCAAGATCAAGACACTAGCAGCTTGATCTGGTGCCTGCCATGGGCCAGCTTCTCACTGTGTCCTCACACAGTCGAAAGAAAAGGGAGCTCTCTGGGGTCTCTTTTACAAGGTCACTAATCTCATTCATGAAGCTCTGCCCTCAGGACCTAATCACCTCCTGAAGATCCTACCTCCTAATACCATCACCTTGGGGCTAGGATTTCAACATGGGAATGGGGCAGGGGAGGTTGGCTATTCAGTCCACATTGGCCTCCTAAAGTAAGTTGTTCTTAAGAAAGTATGGGGCCCAACTACGATGAAGTTAAAACCTGAACCCATATGGAAATAGAACCCAGCTGTGGACAAGAGCTGTGACAAAGGTCTAGGAGTTGAGTGTATTCACCGGTACTTTGGCTAAGGAAAGGGGATGGCTTACAAAACAGCTTGCAGAAGTATAAACTCCGAAGTAATAATAACTTCAGAGTAGGTCCAGGGCCCAGAGCCTACATTCACTGGGGCCTTGTAAAATAAGCTTATTTTGGGAAAAAAAAAATTTTAACTTACAGTAAGTTGTAAAGATAGTAGAGAGAGTTTTGTTTTATTACTCTTTACCCAAAGTTCTTGACTGTTACACTGCTTACATAACTATGGCACATTTGCTAGAACTAAGAGATTAACAGCGGCATATTTCTAGGAACTAAATTCCAGACTTTATTTGGATTTCACCAGTGTCACCAGTAATGTTCTAACCTTGGGCCTTTTTACATAATGTTTACAACAAGAAGCCAAAGGACCAGAAAGGCAGTGTGCAACCCAGTAGGACACTAGGTTCTAGTCCCAGCTCTTATTCATGCTAACTGCAGAACCTTCGAGTTCGTTTTCTGAGCTTGTCTCCTCTCTGACATACTCCATGTCACAAATGCCGATTCTAGATGCAATTCCAGTTTACCCTTCATCTCTCTGCCTGAACACTTCTCTGACAGCTACTAGCTACAGTGAAGGAAGAGAGATCTCTGACTTGGCAGTGACTCCAGCTGAGACCCCCCAGTTAGAGAAGAGAGTCCCTTCGGGAATTTCCAGATTTCAAAATTGCTTCAAAACCCACGTGTCTCAGATGGCTGGAGGACAGACAGCCTTTCTTCAGGGGTCTGAGAAGGACACACTGCAGCAGGGACCAGAGTTGTCCATAAACCTCCATTTTCCCCTTCTTCCTGGGTGTGCATTACATTCCTGAGGCTCTCTTGAATTAGGGTGACCATGCAACTAAGCTCTAGCCAACAGAACATGAGTGGAAGTTTGCGCCCCTTCTAGAGGGGGTGGGTTATATTTGCTAAGCAGTTTCCCAAGCTCTGCTCGCCTCACTACACCACCCCAGCAACCTCGGAGGCCGTGTTAGCACTGCCATCAGCCTGGTCCCTAATCGAGTGCGTGAATAAAGCATGCCCCTCCCACTACTCAGCCTGAAACTACCCTGGACGTTACATGAGGAAGGAGAAAAAAAAAATTCCTATTAAAATGTTAGCCCATTTGGTGGCCGTCATGACAGTTTAGTCTAACACAGTGCCAAATGTCATTCCATTAGAGCAAGACCTTGCTTCTGGATCTGTGCTCGGGGCCTCAGGTGCATGGAACTGAGGTGACCACATGCCCACATTCATCCACAAAAGGCCTCTCTTCTCTTTCCCCTTCCCTCCATCATTCCCCCTTCCAGTTCTATCCTGTCCCCTTTCACAGACCCTATTCCAGTGAGTTAAGATATATATATCCCCCTTAAAAATTGTTGCTTAGTGTGTTTAATTTACTTAGCTGGTTTTTGCTGTAAATTGAATTCTTTATTTTCCTTACCTGGAATCCATCATGTCACAGCAGTTCCTAACAGCCTGCATCTGACTGCTTGTATAATATTCTAGCTGTGCATATACCACTTTTTATTTATCAATTCCCTTAGGGACAGACATCTAAGTTGCTTCCAGCTTCTTGCTACCCAAACTATACATAGATAAACATCCTTTTATGTTACTCCTTGTGGATCCGTGCAAGCTTCTCTGAAGGCTATAGCCAGCAATGGAAGTGCTTTGATGTGTGGTGTATTCATACTTAATGCATTAGTTACCTATTGCTATATAACAAATTACCTCAAAACTCAGCAGCTTAAAACAATAATACCCATAGAATGAGAGAAAATGTTGGTAAATCATGTATCTGATAAGAGACTTGTAACCAGAATATATAAAGAACCATAAGACTGTGTGTTTGTGTGTGTGTGCGTGCGTGCGCGCACATGTACGTATGACAGTCCAACTGAAAAATGGGCAAAGGATGAATAAACATTTCTCCAAAGAAGAATACATAAAAATGTTAAGTAACATTACGCATTGGAAAAATATGACCACTTCATCCCTGCAGGCAATGGCTATATCAAGGCAGAAAGGAAAAGGTGTTGGCAAAAGTATGGAGAAACTGGAACTCTCCTACACCTCTTTGGAAGTTGGGCAGCTCCTCGAAAAGTTAAACATGGGGTTACCTTATGACCTAGCAATGTGATTCCAAGAGCAATGAAAACGCATACCCATACAAAGACTTGTACATAAATGTTCACGACAGCATCATTCACAACCCACAGAAAGGAGAAACAACGCAAATGTCCAACAACTAATGCATGAATAAACTGTATGCTATCCATACAAGGGAATATTATTCAGCCAAAAGGAGGAATGAAGGACCAAAATGTCTACAACACAGATGAAACTTAAAAACATTATGCTCAGTGAAGAGTTAGACACAAAAGGTCACATACTGTAGGACAGCCCCATTCACACAGTATATGAAATGTCTCTAATAGGCAAATCTAGAGCAAGAGAGAGTAGATCAGTAGTAGCCAGGGCACAGGGGAGTTAGGGACAAGTGGGGAGTGATGGATGCCAATAGATACAAAGTTCTTATATTCACAAAGTGATCCAAATGTTTTAAAATTAATTGTGGTGATAGGTGCACAACCCTGTGATATCTAAAAACCACTGAATTGTACTTCATGGGAAATGAGTAAACTGTATGGCGTGTGAGTTATATCTCAATATATGTTTTTTAAAAATGAACATCTAGGGGCACCTGGGTGTCTCAGTCTGTTAAGTGTCTGCCTTTGGCTTAGGTCATGATCCTGGGCAACTGGGATCAAGACCTGCATCAGGCTCCCTGCTCAGTGAGGAGCCTGCTTCTCCCTCTCCCTCTGCCTGCCAGTCCCCCTGCTTGTGCTCTCTCTCAAATAAGTAAAATCTTTTTTTAAAAAATAAACACCTGTTATCTCACTGTTTCTTTGCATCAAGAATTTAGAGCTAAGTGATTCTGGCTCAGGATTTTCTCATGAGGTTGTGGTCACATGTCGATCAGGGCCACATTCATCTAAAGGTCTGAATGGAGGTAAAATATCCACTTCCAAGGTGGTTCACTCACACCGATGGGTAACTCAGTGCCATCTACTGGTGAGAGGCCTCAGCTCCTCCTCTCCACATGGACCTGTCCAGATGACTGCTTGCGTGTCCTCATGACATGGCAGCCAGCTTCTTCCAAAGCAAGGGATCTGAGAAAGTACAAGCCAGATTCAATGTCTTCTATGACCTAGCCTCAGAAGTCACACGTTTCCAGTATATCCTATTGGTTACACAGGACGGCCCTATTCATTATGGGAGGGGACTACACAGGGCTTGTATACTAGGAGCCAGGGATCATTAGGGGCCATCTTGGAAGCTTGCTATCAATACTGGATGAATAGGAAGACAATAATAATGACAGCCAACAATTTTGTGACACACACTATATGCAAGCACTGTTCTAAGGTCACAATAAACCTCTGAGGTAGATTATCTCCATTTCACAGATGAAGAAACTAAGGCACAAAGAAGCAGCTTACCAAGATCACACAATGAGTAAAAGACATAGCTGGGATTCAAACACAGGCAGTATAGCTCCAGAGCCACACTCTTAAAAGCTACTTAACACTGCATCCAGGATATTACTTAATTCCAATTAAGTGTTGCCCATTTGTTCTCCAAAATGGATACAACAGATGAAACTCCCCTGAAGTTTTCATTCCCCACAAGAGCTAGGTCTCTTACTTTTGCCAAGCCAATGGATATAAGTAGAAACACGTTAACATTTTATTTTTTGTGTTTCTCTAATTACCAATGAGATAATATACTTATTAGTCATTTTGGTTTTCCCTTTACATTTTACCTATTTATATTCTTTGCCTATTTGTGTGTGTGTGTGTGTGTGTGTTTAAAGATTTTATTTAAGAGAGAGCGAGCAAGCAGAGAGAGAGTGGAGAGGGAGAAGCAGACTGCTTGCTGAGCAGAGAGCCCGATGTGGGGCTCGATCCCAGGACCCTAAGATCATGACCTGAGCCAAAAGCAGATGCTTAACTGACTGAGCTACCCAGGCACCCCTTATTTTGTGTTTTGTCTATTGTGTTTTGTGTTCCTTCTATAGCGAGTCTTTTATATATGCAATCCCTTGTCGGTTTTAAACATTGCAAATATTTTCTCCTAATCTATACACATCTTTAGCTTTGACTATGAGATGCTCTGTTAACCAGAAATCTTTAATTATGAAGTAGTCGAAGGTATCAAATCTTATAGATTGAGCTTTGGGGATATTATTTAACAAATCTATCCTCACCCCAAGGTCACAATGACATTCTCTGATTTTTCCTACTGGCTTTAACATTTACCTTTCACTTAGATCTTTAAGCACTTTAGAATGTCTTTGTTTTTATACGACTTGAGGTAGGGATCCAACTTCATTTTTATCCAGACATAAGCCAATTTTCTAAGCATCATTACCTATTTCTTCCCCACTAATTTGTAACATTACCTTTATCATATACCTGGTCTCCAAATAGCTATGTCTATTCCTAAGTCTAGCACAAATTCGTATTTTCTAAGAGGAAGGACCATCACTGAAGTTTCTACTCACACTGCTTTCCAGATTAATGGAAAACCCAACCACCACCCTCCAAGATCCATGGGAGGTTCATCATTAGCTTTTTCCCCCAAAACAGAATATCCAGTTAAGAACATGATTTTGAAAAAATAAATGCATGTTTATTAAAAAACAAAAACCCTAACCAAGAACAAACCCTGGGACACTGAAAAATCAGCGCTTCCTCTGAAGGCCAACAACAGCCACTGTTGGAGCACCTGAAAAAGGCCAGGTGCCTCAGACCGAACATCAGGTCTCAAAACATTCTTCCGCAGTCGAAACTGGCATTCAAGTTGCCGGTCTATGTGGACCCTGATTATTAGCGTAGACAACCGTTACAGCTGGATGTCTGGCTGCCCTATATCCACTACCACAACCCACAGCCGCCCCACAGCTTCAGAAAAATTACATATCCTCCACACTCCACTTGTAGGCAAGTTCCTCCACCGCCTTCTTGCTGGCGAGCCTGGCAAAGCGCTTCTGCTCAAATCCATTGGATCTGCAATCAAGAGACACTGATCAGCCAGAGTCCTGAACTGGACATTTTTTTGAAAAAAGAGAAGAATAAGGAGGAAAGTAAGGCAGTCATGTGAACATATTTAAGGCATATGCAACAGAATCAAACAGCCAAAGTACATAATTCATCCTTTTATTAGTTTCTGTTCAACCCCTTCCCCACTCTTTTTTTTTTTTTAAGATTTTATTTATTTGTTTGACAGACAGAGATCACAAGCAGGCAGAGAGCCCGATGTGGGGCTCGATCCCAGGACCCAGAGATCACGACCTGAGCCGAAGGCAGAGGCTTAACCCACTGAACCACCCAGGCGCCCCCCCCCTCAGCACTCTTGACAACTGTTTCAAACACTTCCCACTCTACAGGCCCAACGCACGCACGCTCAGCTGATGGCTACATCGTATCATTCATCCATTCATCATGCAGGCATTGAGTGAATTCTCACTACAGGCGTATCTCATTCAACTGCACCTCACTTTACCGCACCTCACAGAATGCGTTTTTTACAAACGGAAGGTTTGTGGCAACCCTGCATCAAGCAAGTCTACTGGCGCCATTTTTCCAACAGCATTTGCTCACTTCGTGCCTGGGTCACATTTGGTAACTCTTGCAGTATTTCAAACTGTCTCATTATTGGCTATGGTAATCTTCAAACAATGATCTTTGATAGAACTGCTGTAAACTGGGGGTGCCATGAATTGTGCCCCTCTAAAATGGCCAACTTGGTCAATAAATGTTGTATGTGTTCTGACTGTTCTGCTGACCGGCCATACCCCCATTTCTCCCCCTCTCCTCTAGCATCTTCATTCCCTGAGACACAACCATACTGACATTAGGCCAATGAACGATCCTACAAGGGCCTCTAAGTGTTTATATAAAAGGAAGAGCCACATATCTCACTTGAAATCAAAAGTGAGGAAAGCATGTCCAAACCCGAGACAGGCCAAAAGCTACACCTCTCACGCCAGTTAGTCGGGTTGTAAACACAAAGGACAAGTGACGGAAGAAAACGAAAAGTGCTACTCCAAGGAACATACAAATGATAAGGAAGCGAAACAGCCTTCCTGCCGATAATAAAGAAAGTTTTAGTGGTCTGGATAGAAGATCAAACCAGCTAAAAGATTCCTTTAAGCCAAAGCCTCATCCAGAGCAAGGCCCTAGCGCTTTTCAAGTCTGCGCACACTGAGAGAGGTGGGGAAGCTGCAGAAGAGAAGTTTGAAGCTAGAGGGGCTGGTATGTGAGGTTTAAGAAAGAAGCTATCTCCATAACATAGAAGTGGAAGGAAAAGCAGCAGATGCCTGTGTAGAAGCTGCAGCAAGTTATCCAGAAGATCTAGCTAAGATAGTCAGCTCCTCTGAACAGATTTTCAACGTAGATGAAACGTGTTCTAGTGGAAGATGCCTCTAGGACTTTCACAGCTAGCGAGGGGAAGTCAATGCCTGGCTTCAAAGCTTCAAAGGACAGGCGGACTCTTGCTAAAGTGTTAACGCAGCTAGTGACTTTAAGTTGAAGCCACTGCTCATTTGCCACTCCAAAAATCCTGGGCCTCTTAAGAATACGATAAATCGACCCTGCCTGAGCTCCGTGAATGAAAAAACAAAGCCCGGAGGACAGCACAGCTGTTTACAACATGGTTTCCCAAATATTTTAAGTCCACTTTTCAGACCTACTGCTCATTAAAAAAGAGTCCTTTCAAAAGATTACCTTTCACTAACAATGCACCTGGTCACCCAAGAACTCTGATGGAGATGGACAACGAGATGACGAGATGAATGTTTTGTTGTGGTTTTTTTTGGGTTTTTTTTGCCCTCTAACACAACATCCATTCTGCAGCCCATGGATCAAGGAGTCATTCTGACTTTCGAGTCTTATTATTTTTAAGGCTACTACTGCCATACACAGTGATTCCTCTGATGGATGGGGACAAAGTAAATTGAAAGGCTTCATCATTCTCGATGTCATTAAGAACATTTGTGAGTCACAGGAGAGGACAATACATCAACATTTAACAGGAATTGGGAAGAATTTGATTGCATCCTTCATGTAGACTTGGAAGTGTTCAAGACTTCGGTGGAGAAAGGAGCTGCAGATGTGGCAAAAACAGCAGGAGAACCAGGATCAGAAGTGGAACCTGAAGATGGGCCTGAGGCGCTGCTATCTCATGATAAAACTCAACTGGACAAGGAGCTGTTTCTGACAGATGAGCAAAGAAAGTAGTTTCTTGAAATGGAATTGACCCCTGGAGAAGATGCTAGGAAGATCACTGAAGTGACAACAAACAATTCAGAATATTACATAACTGTAGCTAATAAGCTGTAGCAAGGTATGAGAGGATGGATTCCAATTCTGAAAGAAGTTCTACTGTGGATAAAATGCCATCAAAAAGCATCGCACACTACAGAGAATTTGTTCATGAAAGGAAGAGTCGCATGATGTCACAAACCTCACTGGTGTCTTATTTTAAGAACTTGCACAGCCACCCCAGCCTTCAGCAACCTCCACCCTGCTGAGTCAGCATCCAACCACATCAAGGCAGGACCCTCCACCAGCAAAAAAAATTATGACTCACTGAAAGCTCAAAAGATGCTAATCATTTTTTAGCAATTAAGTATTTTTTAATTAAGGTATACACATTGGGGTTTTTTATAGACATACTTTTGCACACTTAGTAAATTATGGTATAGTATACATATAACTTTTATCATACTGGGAATCAAAAAATTCATCTGTCATATTCACTTAATTGTGGTGGTGTGAAATCAGATCCCCAATCATCTCTGAGAGGTGCTTGCATATACTAGGCACTGTGTCATGAAAATGAGTACGACAGAGCAGCTCTTCTGATGAACTCTGACAAGTGGAGGATACTGACATTTATACCAACAACTGAAATGAAAAGCACAAACTGTGGTGGAGATATGCATGGGGTATCTTAGAAACAGAATGGGGATCTCACTCTACTTGGGAAAGGGATGAACGGGAATGGTCAGGAAGGGTTCTGTGGAGGGAGCCCCTAAGCTAAGTCTGGAAAGACAGAGCTAACCACAGGGTTGGAGGTAGGGAAGGCCAGAAAGGTCAAGAGAGCATTTCAGGACAGAGCACAAAATGACTAACAAGAACAAAGTGCAAAAATAAGAAGCAGCTTGCTACATGGAGGGAACCAGAGGCAAACTGGTATAGCTAGAGCCAAAGTATGACGAAGGGAATAGCACGAGACAGAGTTAAAAAGCTCAGATTTCATCCAGTAGGGTTAGACTTAAAATAGGAGCAGAAACCACATTTCAAAGAGATCCCTCTGGAGGAGACTGGAGGCAGGAAAGTTACTACAGGGTATCGGCTACAGATGATGAAAGCAGCGATAAAGGAGACTTAGTGACAGACTCGCTATGTAAGAGTAAAGGAGGAGGAGGTAAGTTTAACTTGCAGGTTAATAATTTTCAGGACCAGATGAATGAGGCTGCACTAAGCAGGACAGAACATAAGAGGAAGAGCCGGTCAGGGGAGCTGAGGTTCATGAGCTCAGTTCTGAATGCCTTGCACTTAAGGCACCTCAGCTACACAGCAACAGCGCGATCCGGTGTGCAGCTATACACAGCAGACTGAACCGCAGACACAGATTTGGGGATCACATACACATCGGTGGCAACTGAAGGTGTGTCTAAAGGCTCAGCGAGAAAGAGCACATGGAGGGAGAACAGCTAGGGTTAGAGATGGGGCCCCTAGCAGCATTAAAGCAGTACGAAGAGGAAGAGAGTTCATAAAGGGGACCAATAATAAGAGAAAAGAACCATGAGTGGAGTGTAATGAGTTTCAAGGAGTAGACCGCAACTCCCTTTAATACCATGAATTCTGTCTACTTCTATAAATTTCTTAAAAGAGCTTGTATTCACTGTCTATACTTCCTCACTTTCCATTCACTCCTTAACACATTAAACCCTGGCTTTTGTCTCACCACGCCACAGAGCCAGCACTCTTTCAGGTCACCAGTGACCTTCGTTATTGCCAAATGCAGTGATTCCTCCCTCTCCCCAAGTCAGTCACCAGATCCTGCCACCTTCTCCCGTGAACACTTGCGCACCCTCCTCTCTCCATTCCGCTCCCACTGCCACAGTTCCGACCTGTCTCCTGCACCCTGACCTACTGCAACAGCCTGTACCTTGTCTCTCTACTTCCAGACCTGCGCCTTTCACGTGTTTTTCAGATTACTGCCATAACGATGCCTCTATCTAAAATGCGGAGCAGTTAATCCTTCAGTGGCTCTCCTTTGCCTTTAGAGTGAAGACTACTCCTCAGAAATGTTTCCAAAGCCTACTGTGACCAGGTCCCTGCTCACCTTTCCAGTCCATCTCAGACAATCCACTCTACATTTCATGCTATCCAACAACAGCGAACTGCTTATGAAGGCCCCTCCATAACACTATGATGTTCTATATTCTTGTGACTTTACACATAAAGGACCCTCTTCCTTACACCTCCTCCCTTTCCTTCTGTTGTCTGGTGACTGACACCCCTTAAGACTAAGCTCACGTATGATTCAGGAAGCTTTCCCTGACCACACTCTCCTTAGGCTGAATCCTACTCTCCCAAAGCACCTTGAAAATCCTCTATAATACCTAGCAAGTACCACTGCAATTATTTACTTGTCTTTCTCCTCTAGACAGAAAGTGAGTTCCTAGGCTCAGGGACTGTCTCTCACTAATTGTGAGAACCTGGCACCTAGCATACAGATGCTTAAAGTAATCACATCTCTGCTAAGTGTTACTAAACTGATTGAGGTAACAGGCTTCCCTCTTTCCTCACACCTTCAGTAAGGGATGAGTAGGGTAAGTAATGGAATGTTTTTGTTTTTGTTTTTGTTTTTTAAGATTTTATTTATCTATCTGACAGAGAGACAGAGATCACAAGAAGGCAGAGAGGCAGGTAGAGAGAGAGGGAGAAGCAGGCTCCTTGCTGAGCAGAGAGCCCGACGTGGGGCTCGATCCCAG